ATTATTGCGAATTTTCAAAATCTACATAGTATATTATTTTAATTTTTGGGTTTGGTTTTTTTATTGTCTTAGTTTGATATCAATTAAAGYCGCGGGAAATCCAACAATATGATCGTTAACGTGACATCCTAAAAAGGTTTTTAAGACTATTTCTCATTATCATAGGACATAGATATAATATAATATTTTAAATCAGTCTTTCCARACCTTCAATTTTCTCTACATACATATAAAAAAATTATGTGAACATATGGTCTACATCTTTGGGCTATGTCAAAAAATCCAATCTTAACAAAATACAAACCGTTCAAAACAAAATACTGCGCTCCATCACCAATGCCCCGTTTTATATTTTACTCTCCATTTTTACTTAAAAATCAAAACTGTTCACGAAGAAGCTAAAACGTACTATGAACGTGTTTTCAACAAACTGCATTCTCACCCTAACCCTCTAATATCTGGCCTAGCAACTTATGCGATTCTTGGAAATCCACCACGGCGTAATATAAAAATAAATTGGTATCTTCTTAACAATTAACGAAAAAAATAATWATTATTATTATTTAAAAAAATAAAAAAATTATATTTAAACAAAAGTAAATGTGATCAAATGTTGGTTTCTTCTCTCATCCTATTCATGTTTTCCTAAATTATATTGTAGCACATATTCTTTGAGTATATAATGTATATTCTCGAATAAAAATTTAAAAAAAAAGGCAAATAAAGAATCATTTTAGAATTGCTAAAGTTTTCAACTTGTATGAATATAATATTAACATTGAATATAATAGTAGGTATATATTGTAACTATTCATAACGTTTATTGACTTTTATCGGATCGTTTATAATCGATTAAAAGCGTATCTCTCATAATGTACTCAATGGCATCGTTTAATATATCATTTGGGATTTTTAATCAAATTTTCTACATACCTGCACTGATAATACGCACGAMATATAATATTTTTAGACTGTAATGTTTATAGTGTTGGTAAAAAAAATACCYCCGACAATTTCTGCCACATCACATTAATACTTAAGTGCGTTATTCAGTACGTCATATCTTTAATGCATATCAGAATAAAAATCGAKTGCTTGATTTTGAATGAGAAAAAGAACGAAATACGTAATGAACTATTATTTTTATCCTATCATTTTTAAAAGTATTTCAGTCCGTAGAAAAAAAAATTTTATTTAAAATTGTACATTTTTGTGGGTGATGAATATTTAACCAGGGACAACATACAAATCAATTCACTCATTAATTGAATGGGTAAAGCCACTCATTTTTTCACYGAAAATCGTGCACATTGTGTAAGCGAGAAATTGTTTTGTTTATTTTGACCTATTTATAAAATGAACAAAGAGATTTAAATACCTAAGAGAAAACACGTTAAATTCTGATCAATATTCATCGGATCTACAGACAAATTTGCATTGCATACGATTGTAAAATATGTATTTATAATTTTGATAAAATACATAGTAAAAATCTGAAAAAATATAATATTATAATAAAATCGTCCATTGGTATTTTACATAGTTAATATAATAGTATACTGATATAATATTATTATCAAAACTATATACAATACACTAATATAATAAAATATAATGACAAATAAAAGAAAAAAAATCCGAAAATAATTTGACTTTAAAAGTGTCTAACTTATATTTCATGAATTAATATGAACTATAACATGATTGGATAAAATTTTAAAATTATATCACTTACTGCTGAAATCATACGGTAACGGTATAGATGTATCTGGGAAAGGAATTAACTGATTATGTTTTATAAATTTATAATATAATTCTTGTCGAGGCCAGACCGCCGAAATAAGTGATTAAGATAAGATAAAATAATTAATACATGGCCGCATGACAATACAATACCTACTGATTCAATTAATGTCAATTATTGTCAAAATCGTTAATATGGGTTCTGAAGTTTCAATGTTAAAATCTTCATTTGTCTWTTTTTGTTATTTGAGAAAACTTGTGTTAGCTACACCTATAATCCCATTATAGAAGCCTCGATCCGGGCACGAATAGAGACAACGACCGGGATGGGTKTGTGCCACCTAAAAACAGTATTGTTAACATTTTAGCACGTTCATCATTTGTGGAACAGAAGCACTCTTAATCCCGGACACTAACCTGACTGCGTGTTTCAGATGACCGTCAATGRAAACGTGTCGACGAACAGAACGAATGGATCACCCTACGGCTGTAATGACTTGGATCGTCAGCTGCCACCACCATCRCWGYGCACGTGGGAAACGTACAACAGCGACAGCGTGTCATTTCCACGGACAGCCTCCAGTAATAGGACCAAAGCCATGGACATCATCGATCCAGAGACTGGCGAAAAAGTACAATTATGAACGGATGTCGAAAAAAAATGTACATCCGCATGCCCAGAGCGCGTTTGCAGTCGCGCATACCATTGACTTATTTCCATATTTTGCGTTCAATAATAAATAAATWWAAAAAAAAAAACTATAATTTTATTCGTCAAACCATAATAATATGTGATACTACTAGCTGTCTGTTTTTATCGGGAAGCCGTCGTTGTTGTGTATTTTAATTAAAAGTATTAAAATATAAAAATGAAAATGTCTGAAATACGGCGTGTCGGATAGGCAATTTCCTGCACCTGAACGCCGATTCTGATGTTGTAATCGTATGCACGGCAAATAAGTTTTCTGGATTTTGTATCTCTCGTCGCCGATACACTTATCGAGTTTACGTCACCAGGCTGAACGGGCGTCACGCGTTTGGACGAATTTTTAAAAATTGCAGTGCGTTTGGGCAAGTGATTTTAAAACATTGTAATGCGTTTAGGCGACCATTTTTTTATTTTTTGTTTTATCTTATAATCATTACAATTTTATCTTTTATATYGTGTCGCACCGTCCGCACTGCACGTCAATCACTTGTTTAATAAGATTGAATCCTCAGTACTACGTGGAACCACGACCTTCGCTCACTAATTATGTCCAACCTAAAGATAAATGATAAACAAAATACAAACAATGATAATCCCGATCACAAAATTCAGGAATAAAAAAAATATATTGTCTCGCCCAAACACATTACTTTTATTATACGGGTAAAAAGGCAATTCGCCCAAACGCAAACCGCCCGGCTGAAAGCTGTAGGTTTTCTTCATAAAGGTAGCCAGAGTGGGGTGTTCTGCAGACCTCATCAAGTCCTTAATCAAAATTGTAAAAAAAGTTAGAACTGATATAGCAACATGCACATGACGTGTTGGCTATTGAATGGATTCCAGTTTTCTAGTGCAATGGATGTCATAGAGCAAGAAATTGAGTATAATTTATAGAAGTTGTCCAAAACTTACCAGAGCTCCCATATATTGTATACCTACATTAAAATKTAATYACAATATACGTGAACCACATCAACACTTCTTCATTTGTCCTCATGTACTACGTGTGTCATGCTAGTAGAGCGACGTCCCCTTATCGGGGTCTTGTGGAGTCTTAGGTATATATGCGGTGCTGTGGAGTGTGGTATAAATCATTTTATGATTGTTCTTTAATTTTATTTAAATATAAAATTAATAAAATACAGTTAACATATTATTTTTGGGTGGTATGCTTTTTATTTGCATCCATCTATATGATAATATTGTTATACTAGAAATKAGTACAGTACTCAAACATAAATTAAATACATTTTAAATATTATAACTGTTTATAATTTTAAGCTGAAGCACATATCAATAGSCAATAGCTATAATTTATAATAGTCCGTTGTACATCAATGTCTGATATGGTAATATCTAATAACATCAGATGCGTCATTGTCATGGATCTTAACTGTCAATGTCAATTGTCAGTACTTTTTGATTAAATAGTATAATTTTTAATTAGTACATTGTTAACGATTATCATATTTAACTTGTATAGTATAAGTATAAAACATGAAAACAAAAATTACATTGACAAATACTTCATAAACTATTATGCATAAGCAATACACTTATAGAAATTAGAAGTTAAAAGTTTCATTTCAGATGAAATAGTTAGTAAGCCTTTCTATCGTTAACAGTCAAAAACGATTTACTATGTATCATTAATATATACATCACTTAATACTTAAGCTCAAAAAATCTAGAAATAAATGTTTAAAAATAATTTATTTAAACTTTGAGAGTAGGTAGTATATGTATGTTCYATCCCAGTTTTTTTCATTTACTGCAGGGAGATTTCAAAACGGTTATCCACGACTTTCCCCCTTGATCGTCCAGAATTGTGGGTGCTTACTATCCCAGTTTTTACATTTACAGGGAGATTTTAATCAAACTTTTTTTATTTTCAGTTATTTCAAYTTATATGCACGAAATAATAATTAAGTTACTTATAGACTCATGGCCTCGTGGGCTAAGGCGTTGAGTGTAGAGTTTGAATTTAGGGTAAGTAAGTATGTTAATACTATACCCAGTGTCATAGTCAACTAGTCCACGAGTTTACATTTTTTGTTCCCCCCCCCCGATGTTTTTATTCATAAACTTCAATTACTTTTATTTGTATGATAAATTATGTTTAAATTTTTTAGTAATTAGATTTTGTAATAACCGTTTATAATATATTATAAGGACGCACAACTTAATCTGTTTCAGTTTATTAGTATCAGTTGAATTGTGTGTTGTTGTTCACAATGGTCTTATTAAAAGAAATTGTTATACTCAGCAAGTTGGTAAACAAGATCGACGTATACAGTGAGCAGTATATTCGTGTTATGAATATTTCATTGTGTGTTAATTAATTTATTAAATTAAAATTTTAAAAATTATAATCATTGTATTCATTTTTAACAGAGATGATACCTGATGTCAACCCTTGTAGTGTAATAAGCCACCGACCACAATACGGCACATCGCAAAATATCCGTTTGCTCATAGTGAACGCGAAGTTTATGAATATTTTCGTCAGTGGCATTCAGCTATTGTCGTGAGGGAAATTCGATATTCATTTGATTATAATACCGATGATATATTTTGTTCGTTTGAATATGCTAATCATTTCAGTCGAATATATTTTAGTTCAGATCTTATAAATTTACATTTCGATGCAATCCATATTATGTTCAAGGATATAAATGTGTTACAAACATATTGCCAAAGACGTAGGTGCATAGTATGTCAAAAATACAMCACTGTTTGTGAYAACCGTAATTTATATGCTGAACCCGATGAGGATTATGTAATACAAGYGTTCYCAATAWCCAATTTCACCGACGATCTACTTCAATCAACAGTACATACATAAGTAATTTAATATATTTTATTTTAGTATAGTTTTATATTAATTGTTAAGAATGTTAAAATATAATCGTATTAAAAAAATTAACCGATTAAACACAACTGGAGTGAATTTAGTAGAAGTTGAGAAATTTAAAAATAATCGATCAAAAACTTTTTATTTTGAAAATAACACAAACCTTATTGATGACTTATTATCATTTTTAAATTCTACTTCTTTTTCATTAAAATCTAAACTAAAAGATCTATGTTCCTCATCTAGTATCTACCTATACATTTAATTTATTTGTGGACTTAGTATATGAAAATTTGATTACGGGGGAAGTACGGGATGTTGCTTTTAAAACAAAAAATGTTTTATGTTGTTTTMCTTCAAATTTTTCCACCCTTTTTAAAAACATGTTTRATAAATTATTAAACGAACAGGAATCATTTTTGCTGAAGGGTTCTTCTTGGAGACAAATTAGCTTAGATRGTCTCCAATTAAGAACAAATAAAGTGAATTTATTGGGTGGTTCATCATTYATAAAATTDCCAAAATMAATTTATGACAAAAAGGCAATAATAAATGTTGTGAATTATGATAATAAATGTTTTAAATATGCGATTTTATCAAAATTTAATGAAAAAAAAAAAAAAAATTTATTTTAGTATTAAATATTTTAATTTTTTTAAAAAAAAAAGTGGACTTAATTTTAATTGTATAGATTACCCTACCCCAATCAATCAACTAAAAAAATTTGAAAAAATTAATAACAAATCTGTTAATTTTTATAGTTGTAATGATTAAATAAATATCAAATTTACCCACTTCGTATAAATAATAATGAAAAATCAGATCATTACGATTTGTTTTTTTTCTCAAATGCATCAACAACACATTATTGTTATATAAGTAATTTCTCCCKACTGATCAGATCACAAAGGACTAAACACGAAAGAAAAATAWTAATYTGCAAGCGATGTTTTACGACTTTTAGTAATAATCCAAATAAAAATAAGCCATGGGGGTCGAATGGTCTTGATAGTCATAAAGTAATTTACCAAAAACACAAACTTTGTAAGCCCGTTATGATCGATCCACACGATGATGAATTTATATATTATAATAAATATAATAGAGCTGATCGAATTCCTATTGTAATGTATGCTGATTTTGAATGTTTTTTAAAACCAATTAATAATATTATTACAGGCAATACTAAAAACACACATCATCATAAACCCATGAGTTATGGGTTATACGTTAAAATCGATTACAGTATCGTCCCGGAAGAATTAGTAAAAAAAATTGAAATTCCTAGAAATCCGATAATTTATAGAGGTAAAAATCCATCAAAGCATTTTATGACATCAATAATATTGATATTACTACTAAAATGTATTATCTTTATAATACTAATAAATCAATGAATAAATTATAAAAAAAGGAAGAAAGTCAATATATTAATTCATCAAAATGTGCACTTTGTTTGAAATTATTTAATAATGAAACCGTATTAAAAGTAAGAGACCACTCACATCTTACCGGTAAATATTTAAGGGCTTTATGCTTAAATTGTAATTTTTTGGCACAAAAACTATCATTTGTGCCAGTATATTTCCATAATTTAGCGTATGACGGTCATTTTATTGTACGTACCTTAGGTTGTAATGATAATGACATACGCATTATTCCAAACTCAGGTGAAAAATATTTGTCATTTAGTAAACAAATTTTGGATAAATTTTATGTAMAATTTGAAGACACTTTTATGTTCATGTCAGGATCACTCTATAATTTAGCTGAAGAAAAACAAAATTCCGTGAAATTATCCATCACTTTCCGTTAAAAAACATTGATTTAGTTATTCGGAAAGGTGTATCTCCGTATGAGTATGTAGACTGTAAATCGAAACTTAAAGACACAGCATTACCACCCAGGATTAAATTTTATAATTCGTTAACAGATGACCATATTTCTAAAAAAGATTATATGCATGCATACAATGTTTGGGAGAAGTTTAATATAAAAACACTAGGAGAGTATAGTGATTTACATTTATTAACTGACATATTGATTCT